AGACCTGTTGTCACCACTGCCAGAACTGAGACTCTGCAAATCTCCCCTGTTGGGAGACATGATGTGAGCAGGGGTTTGGGCCGGTCTTCTGAGGGGGAGGTCTGGTGCGCTGGGACTGAGGTAAGCATGACTGGGAGGGGCAGTTCCACCAGAGCACAGAGGGCAGGGCTTGGTGTAAGCAAGTTAGGTAGTGAGTGTTGGTACTGCACTTGTTCCCATAGGTGGCCCTGTGCTTATGTTGAGGGACAGCTGAGGGAAATGACACTGGCCAGTTCCTTTGTTCCCAGAAGGGTCACTCTATGAATGCTGCCTCTCTGGGACATGCCTCAAGAAGAGCAAATAACCTCTCCACTATGTGCCCCAGGCACTCCTCAGATTGCTGTTTTCATGCTGTATGTCTGCAGGCTGTTTACCTTGTCTTCTCCCCAAGAGCAGCCCCAATGCCTCCAGGCTCTCCCAGAGTCAAGCCCACTGACCTTTAGAACTCCAGGCTTTAAGCCCCACTGGTTGAAAGAACTCACAAAATTCAGCCTCTCTTGCTTTCTAGGCCAGTTGCTAAGGGGAGTCATCTTTCCCATGCACTCCCCTGTGTGCTAGTCTGTTTCTCATCCCTCTCTGCAACCATGGCTCCCTCTCCACAGCAGCCGCCAGGATCTACTTCTCTCCCAAATCACGTTTCCACACTTCCTACCTTCTTTGATGTGGCTTCTTTTCTACCTTTAGTTGTAGAGTTTGTTCTGCCAGTCTTCAGGTCAATTCCTGGGGTAGTTAGGATTATTTAATGATTATCTAGTATTCATGGGATAAGGTGAACTAGGGTCCTTCTATTCTGCTGCCATCTTCCTCTCCCTTATTATGCATTGATTTTAAAAAGTCAGGCATGAGAGACAGCTCCTTGAAATATGCCATATATGAATTGAAGTATTTAATAAGACTTAATTCCATCCCTAGTTTTTACTGCTCTGCTATGATAGTATTTTCATGTAATAGAATAATTGTTGAAGACATTTTAATATTTTGCAAATTTCAGCTGCAATAAAATATGACTCATCATTATTAATGTAATTTTAAATAAGAAAAAAACTGCTTCTGGGAAAACTATCCTGATTGTAAGATGCATACTAATTTGAAAGGTGCTAAAATGTAGATAAAATATGCATCAATGACTTGTTATTACTAATTCTAAAGGATACAGTTTTACAATAAGTGACTCATAAATATAAAAAAATATTTAAACCACATAAAAGGAAAGGGGGGCACATAAAAAAGCAGGGAATACTTGAATTTAGCTTTGAGTTTCCTGGAAGGCTAGACAAAAAAATATTTTATATTTTATGTTTTTATATTTTTATATTTTATATAAGTGTATATAATACTATTTATTGAATGATTAAAAGGATATCCTCCTCAGAACATACATTTTTTCTGGAACTGAGTTATAAAAGGAATGCTGATTTAGAACATCTGTAAAGAGCTGTAGGCAATGTAAAGGCCATTGTCTTCAACCACAACAGTTTTAAAGAATATATAAAATGCTTTCATTTGACAATTTCTTCAACCTTCGAAAGCAGAAAGCATGATTGAAGATTTGGCCAATATCTTCAGAAATTTTAAAATAAAATTTATTTAAATTGCTTAGCCAACATTTCACACTAAAGAACATCTTTAATAGGAATGCTGCACCAAGTATGACAAACATAGCAATGAGATTTTCTGAGCTTCATTTTACTCTGAAAAGCCACAATTATTTGAAATTTAATTGGTACTGAAAATCATTTTCATGGATGGCAGAAGAAAAGCACAAGTTGTAGCTGTTTTTAGATTGAGCTATTTAAGATCAACAGTGTTATAATTATAATAAAAGCTGTTACATGACCAAAGCTAATTCAGATTATGCCTTAAGTCCATGAGTTGTATTTCATGTTTTACATTTCTTTCCTTTTTTAAAAAGGTACTATAGAAATTTTCAAAACATATGCAAAAAGTAGACACAATATTATAGTGAATACTTTTTTTTATCTATTACCCAGCTTGAACAATGATCAATTTATGGCCCTTTTTGTTTCTTTCATGCCCTTACCCCTGATTCTTTTGAGGGAATCCCAGATAGTATAATCTTTAATCTTTAAAGATCTTTCTCTAAGATAAGGATTCTCTTTTTAAATATAACCACATTAGGATTGTCATACATAAAAAATTATTAATTCCTTAATATCATAGCCACTTAGGGTGTACATTGCTTCAGTTGTCTTATTAATTTTGTTTATAAATGGATTGTTTGCTGAATCAAGATCAAAATGAGGTTTATATTCAGAGAAGAGACAAGAATGGCTCCTTCTCTATCTCTGAACATTCACGTCCTCAACAATATGGACTGAGTGCCTACAGTGGCAGGCGCCATGCTGGCTGCTGGGGAAACAAAGATGAATGCAACAAAATTCTGCAGTCAAAGAATGCATCATCCGCTGCATGGGAGGGAGTAACCCCATGCTTTTATTTGTAGGGAATGCTCAACAGCCCTCATTCCCGGGAAGTTCTCTTATATTGAATCTAAATTCCTCATTTGTAGCCTATTTCCATTCTTTTTGTTTTTAGTGGACAAGGAATAGTATCACTGCAGACTGTTATGACCATATCTATTTTTGTTTTTGGGGGGGTGAGGTTTCTTTGTTGTTACTTTGTTGCTATTTTTTGCTTTTGTTTTTTTACTTTTCTGCCTTTCTGTAATCTCTTCTGCTCTCTTCCCACTTGTCTGCTGAGTATGTATGCTGTGTAACCGTGTGACTATAAGACACTGAACCACACAGTTATGTGGAAGATGTAAGATGTGTATCTACCCAGGGGGATTAACACAAAATGGCTGATTTGACCAACAATCCTTGAACTTGTCAGTATTTCCTTAGAAACAGTGGGGTTTGAGTTAGAATTCAGAAGAGATGCTTTGTAGTGTGCAGAGTATAAATAATATAATCTTAATGTTTTAAAAATATCTTCACATCAATTATTTCTTTATCCTCTCTATAATCCTATGAGTTATAAGGACAAGTATGATTATCTTTATTTGGCAGGTGGGAAAAATGCAGCACTAAGAAATTATGCTGTATAAAGAGTACATACAAAGATAGAATGGGGCCAAGAAACACATCGACAACAAGACAATAATAGTAGGGGACTTTAACACCCCCCTCACTGAAATGGACAGATCATCTAAGCAAAAAATCAACAAGGAAATAAAGACTTTGAATGACACACTGGACCAGATGGACTTCACAGATATATTCAGAATATTCCATCCCAAAGCAACGGAATACACATTCTTCTCTAGTGCCCATGGAACATTCTGCAGAATAGATCACATCCTAGGTCAGAAATCAGATCTCAACTGATACCAAAAGATTGGGATCATTCCCTGCCTATTTTCGGACCACAGTGCTTTGAAACTAGAACTCAATCACAAGAGGAAAGTCGGAAAGAACTCAAATACATGGAGGCTAAAAAGCATCCTACTAAAGAATGAATGGGTAAACCAGGAAATTAGAGAAGAATTTAAAAAATTCATGGAAGCAAATGAAAATGAAAACACAACTGTTCAAAATCTTTGGCATGCAGCAAAGGCAGTCCTAAGAGGAAAGTATACAGCAATACCAGCCTTTCTCGAGAAACAATAAAGGTCTCAAATACACAACCTAACCCTACACCTAAAGGAGCTGGAGAAAAAAAACGACGACTTTGGAATGTATTGTCACCCACTAAGCATTTATTGTGTTACTACAATGGACACCGTGGTTGTCTGTGTGACATTCTTATCACCTTCCCCCATGCATAACACCTGTCTACTGAGTCTCCCCAGTTTTACACACCAGTGCATGGCATTCACCTGTCCATAGTGTCTAGTTCAAGGGTGTCCAGAGCTGGGACTCTTGTTCATTGTGAGATGTCACGTTCTCTCTTCCCTGGATGTTAAGGAGAAAGTGTGTTGTCCTGGCAGCTGCTGACAGGCATCTTACAATGGTGGGGAGATGACAGCCTGAGGGACGGCAACATATGGAGTAAGGCAGAGTCCGTAGAGCTGCGGAGAGGTCTAGCTGGATCTTACGTGCGTAATGCCTGAGGCTTACATTTCCTATGGACTTTTAGGTACAGGTGCCAGTGAATTCCCATTATTATTTAAGGCAGTTTGAGTTCAGTTTTCTTTATTTTCTGCATAACATCTTCTGATATAGAACTTTTAAATTCATTTACTTCTCTCAAATTTGGGGTTACTGATTTCACATTCAAATATGAGCACCTGCAGGGTACTGGCACAGCACTGGGTACTTTCCCTTTTGCCCTCATGACAACCTTATGAGATAATACTATTATTGAATTTCCACTTTTCAGATGCAGATACTCAGGTTCTGAGAGATTGTGACTTCTCTAAAGACACAAAACCTATAAGCAGCAGTAGGGTCTGCATTTGAGCCTATTGAAAATACCATATTTTATCTATTTATTACAGGAAAGAAATTAGAGATAAAAAATTCAACTTTTAGACAGTTGGCAAGTAGTCACTCATATTTATGAAATACTTTCTATATCTCCAAAGCATATCTGAACCCATGTTACCACCATGTTGATGAGTATCAGCTGTAGGTGCTGACTGATACAGAGGCCAGACACAGAGAATACCTAGGAAATGAGTCAAGGTGTACTTATCTAACCAATGCTGGTAGAAGAAGGTGCTACTCAGTAAAAACAATGTTCTCCAATGACAGACACAGTGTGTAAGCCTCTGGGTCTTCCGGAAATGGCTTCAGTATCATGGTATAGGATTAAGTCTGAATGAGTGAGGAGCCATTGGGACTTGTAGGAACTGTCACGTAGGAGTAGGCAGAACCCTCCCCCACCCCAAGCCCAGCTGGATCTTTATGATCAGAAATCTTGGTATTATACAAAATGACCATAGAGACTGGTATAAAATAAGCATCAGCATACCTTCTTTATTTTTTCTTTCCATTTTTAAAAATGTGAAACATTCTGCAAATTTGCATGTCATCCTTGCACAGGGGCCATGCTAATCTCTGAGTTACTTCATTTTCAGTAGATGTGCTGCTGAAGCAAGCACCACATCTTCTTTTAACGTATCTATTCTCCCTAGGCTAGCACAGTCTGGGCTAGGACCTTTGTGGTCTTAGAGCTGCAGAATTAGAGCAAGGGTCAGTTACCCTGATGTCTCTGAGAACCTTACAAGCCCTTAGGCTAGCTATAAATCTGTCAGAGTGATGATTATAATTTTACAGATGAGAAAGTTAAGTAAGTGTGGGGGGGGGGTTAAAATTATTTGGCCTCCAAGTGCATTAGGCGGTAACTGAACTGAGTGAAAACTAAGGTATTTTGACCGGCTCTTCAATTCTTGTTTAACTAGAATGCATTAGCTTTTCATCCATGGGAGGTTACCTCAGCCAATTTTGTTGTAAATGAAGCCCAGAATAGAAATTAGGAACATCATTGGAGGGCCAGGCTGTGCCTTTAAGTAAGCCTGGATGTGTTTGTAGTAATTCATGTTGAAGAGTTGGTAATGAGACTAGACGCGTAGTTTAATCAGACTGCCTGGTGGTCACCCAGAACAGACACGCTGTGACGCCTGTTGACACTAATATGGAAAAGCCATGGTTGCTTAGTTAAGGGAGGGACTGTCGGTCCCAGGACAAAGCTGATTTCCCAGCACGGTGAGGGGCTCCAGGGCCATGAGGTTTCCAAGGCTTTCCCCTGTGTATTTTGATTAGTGCGTTTTTGATAAAGTGGGTAATAGTCTCTTTTCTCAGGGCTAATAACCCCTTTTAGTGCACCGTAGCGGCCTAAAGAAGTCTCCTACCACCATAGATTCCAAATGCTCTTGGCTAACTTAAAGGTACTGGATAGACTAGAGTTGGGGGCATCTTAGATAATGGATAACTTCAGACAATTCCTATGCCTCACTTTCTCATTCACTCAGAAATATTTATTGACTGCATTCTGTGTGTTGGGTACTGTGCTGGTTTCTGGGTAGAGACTAAAGAGCAAACAGATGTGATCGCTGCCATGCTGAAGCTTGTAGATGTGTAATTACAAAACATGATGGATGAAATGGAAAAGATTTGAGTGCTATGAAGGCGTATGCCAGGGGATCACATTTTGGATTGGGGTACCACCTTCTGAGGAAGTGATTCTTTATGCTGAGAACTGAAAGATGAGAAAGCACCAGCAAGGTAGAGTGGGAACAAGAGTTTCCTAAGCAAAAGAAAAGGCAGGTTAGTCGTTGTAGTGGAGGAAAGAACTGGTCCTGTTTTAGTAATTGAAGCTGGAGTTTGTGAGCCAGGAGGGAGGGCAATAAGCAGGGGGTGGTGGGTAGGTGCAGGGCCATGCACTGGGGTCATTTGAGCTTTGGAATCTTGAGATATCTGGATTCAAATCTTGGCTTCTACTTTTATTTATGATCTTGGACAAGTCACTTAATTTCTTTGTGAGTCAGTTTCCACTGCATTGAAATTATCTCCCGGGCGAACTAATGCAGAGTAAGTGAATCTAAATGTCTGGTCCGTAGCCCTGCCTGTTCCTTCTCTCCACCATCTGCTTCCTTTTCTCTTCCTGCATTTTTACTCAGAGCTATTGATGTAGTTGGTTAGTTATTTAACACTGGTTTTCTTGGCCCTTTCCCATTATCTTGCAACCTGAATAATCAAAAACTGAATGATCTAAAATTAATTATTATTTAAGGAATTTCAGTTACATCATTGACATTACCTTTATTAATTATTAACAGGTGCATTTAGAATCAATTGTCAAAGTCTTCCCTTGCTCTTGAGTCTACCCTTGAGAGATACTCAGGTCCATGTTGGCTTAACGTTTTATTTACAAAATAGCTGTGATTTTCTTTTTAACTTGGAAAAGATTGTTTTGATGCATAATATGAAACCTGACTGTGTGACTTAGCAAATCAAAAGTATTTATTCATGTTGAAAAGGCAGCTTTTTGTTTCAGTGCAATGAATGCAACACAGTATGTTTTGGATTATTAGCTCTGTTGGTTGAGCGTGGTTATATGAGAACACTTGGGCCAATATTCCCAAATATAAAGAGTGTGCCAGATTCTCAAACATTAGGAAGATGTCACAGAATAGTCTCATTCTTCCAAGTAAATGAACTAGATCAAAGAGTTCTTCTGTATCTTTCTCTCCCCACCCTTATTATAATAAGGCATATTGTGAAGGGATTTCTCGAAGTGGGAGCTAGCACTAATATCTTTCAAAAATGCTTCTACAGGGAGTTTATGCTTCACGCCATCTTAGTGGCTGCCTCTGGGACCTAGAACTACACCTTTGGCTTCCATGGGCCATAGTGTAAAATAGAACACAATTATGTTCCCTACCAACCTCACAGGATTGTCCAGAGTGTTAAACTAGATGCAGTGTTTAAAACAGTTGAGAATGGGGAGCATTCATTCAACAAATCTGCCTGAATGGAAAAAACCAGAAGTGTTCTTTCCCAGTCTGGCCCAGGTGTATTATTTGATAATTGTAACAACCCTGCAAGGTGGTCAGGACCGTAACTCTCAAGGGCTGGGGGAAGAGTAGGTGCTATATGATGAAGATTTTTTAAATTCACTTGTTATGTTTCTCTAAATATTAAATCCCACAACTACTCTATAACTCATTTTGTTGTTCATTGACCTGTGCTGCCAGTAGGTTCTTTTCCCTATAGAACCCTCCAAACCTTTCATTGTTTACCCTTGCCTTCTTGACTTTTTTTTTTTTTTAAAGATTTTATTTATCTGACAGAGAGAGACAGTGAGAGAGGGAGCATAAGCAGGGGGAGTGGGAGAGGGAGAAGCAGGCTCCCAGCCGAGCAGGGAATCGATCCCAGGACGCGGGGATCACGACCCAAGCCAAAGGCAGATGCTTAACGACTGAACCACCCAGGCGCCCCTCTTTTTTTCTTTCTTGTTGTCTTTGTAGCTCCCTCTCTTTTTTCTATAAAGGAGTCTTTCCTTCCCAGAAAGTTACACTGATGTCCCTTTTAACCGGGGGGATTGTAATCTGTTACTTTTCCAGCCTAGTGGGCGCTTTGGGGGAGGGCCTCATGTTGTCTGATGGAAAACTCCTGGCCACTGACAATGCGGGACACTGGCTACGCCCTGCACATTCCCTCTCTGGGCTGGGACGCCCCACCGCTCGGAGCCCTGCCTCTCATTAGGTAGCGGTGGAAGTGTTTCTGCGTCCAGGACCTGGCACACGGGCTGAGTTCCGGCAAACGGCTTTCCTCCTTCCCTGTTAACATTATCTGATGGTATAATTCGGAGGGAAAGGGGAAGAGCCAAGGCGGGTTGTGCTCTTGCCTGCTTTTCCTGGCAAGACTGTTGGGGCGTGTTGTTCTCGGAGCCTGTCCTCATAATCTGATCATTCTCATCCTGCTGGGGTGGCCCAGAGGTTGCCGCACAGAGCAGCGTGACAGGCCGCCAGCAAGGTGATACAGAGAACACCAAGGGGACCTCTCACACGTGGCAAAAGGGAGAACGCTAGTACATGGAAGTCCCGAATCTCACACGTTCCTTCGAGTAGAAGTCCCAGATGGAAACTTTCTGAATCACACCCTGTAAATATTTTCACCCTGGGCTTATTCTCCTTAGGCCTTTTGTTGTCAGGGAGAAAACAGCCAGGGGAAAAAAAGTAGAAATGAAGGAAAAGGAAAGTTCAAAGAAAACTTGGGAACTTGACTCTTAGAAACAGCCTATTCAAAAATATACGTTTAGACAATGTTGAGAGCGACAGGGAGGATGTTGACTTTACTGAAGGTGGCGTGAAGGCAGGGCACCCAGTTTTACCCTCTGTTAAGTGACCAGTATATGAACATAAAAGACATATAAATTGGTTTATTTCAGACATCCCAAAGAATGAAGTGTTTTTATACAGGGCAAAAAAAATGAACTGCTATTCAATTTCAATAGTAAGCAGAATAGAGTCTAAAAATTAAAAAATTTCAAAAACCAGAAATTGTCTATTAACTATTGACAAATACAAATTTTAATGGATTCATAATAGTAAAATCCTAGACCTGGTTTTTAAAATGAAGTGTCACTTATTGAAATTTAGTCTTTGAGAAATAGTGCAAAACCTAAAACTTATCTCTAAAAATAAAGCTCTCTAACCTATAATTTGAAAGCTCTCTGATTTTAATATGAATTTCTTTGACAAGCTCTGTTTCCCTTGTGACAAAATGTCTCTTTTCAGTTTGAGTCATCAATGCACATTTATGAAATCTGACAATGCTGTTTTTACACAGCCTGAGATATTTGGGTCAAGGTGATGGGTGAGACATTGCGAAAGTGGAGTAATTTGACTGCTTGGATGTGGGTGGTGAAGAAGGTTTACCTGGAGGTGACAGAGGGTTACAGAAGGACAGGGGGAGGCAGGACATGGGGTACCAAAGGTGCATTTCACTGTCTTTACCATTTTGCCTGCCATTTGAATTCACAGATGCCTGAGGCTATACTATCCAGTCCTTCATTAATCTTTGAAATTAGCTAAGAAAGGGACAGAACCCTTTTCTAAAGGGTTCTGAAACTGGGGCCATGGGTGTATTTGATTCTAAGTTCTGTATTTCTCTACCAAATGCAACATCCATTCTCTCTCTCTCTTTTTTTTTTCATTCTTTTAATTAGTAATAATGATTATCTTAGAGGACACAATTTCTTTTTATTTTTTGTTTCCTTTCCATATATATGTGTATATATATATAAAGTAATCTCTATGCCCAGCATGAGGCTCCAACTCACAACCCTGAGATCAAGAGTCACATGCTCCACCGACGGAACCAGCCAGGCTACCTTTTTCCTATTTTTATCAACAAAATACTAAGGGGCCAAATTTCATGTGCTGCTAGAGTCTGAGAGCTTATGGAAGCCACTACATAAAGAGGGACAAAAGGAGGTTTTTTTCCCTTGGCACTCAACAGAGAATGCATTACTGGAAGCCTAACATATTCTCACATGGGGAAGGCCACAGCTGGGGAATGCAATTAATGGCCCTTGCATTTGCAAAAACACACAGATCCATAAACTGCAATGACGTCTTTTTAAATGTGTGCTGTA